AAACCATAGATCTAGAAGGATATTATACAGGGTGTTTCTGAAATATGTGGGTTCCTTGAAAAGGGTGGTAGAGGACACGAAAATAAGCATATTTTATTACGCAATTGATGGTCTGTCTAAATGCTTCTGTTTTCGAAAAAATTAATTAAGGAAATTAACCACAAATGTAAGCCGACCCCGTGCATCTTGTGCACGTGCACAGCCAGAATGCTTCGGACTCGCTACATTTGTGAAACTCTTCTCTAATTGACTGACGTTTCATGTAACTTCTAAAACCAAGCAAATCTGATGGCAGGTCGGGTAGTAGTATTTTTTAGTTGTGTGTTGCAGTATTACTTAGCCAGTATATAAAATCTTTTCTGACCAAGAGTTAGCAGATATGGTGTTCATGGATAAGAAGTGGATCTTATTTGTGGAAGGACGAAATGGGCGGTGACTATTAGACGCCTTCATTATAGCCATCTTTCTCTATCGCACGGATTTCTCTGACTTTCTTTATCGCTCTCACGTAACGGCCGATGAACCATTGGGACTTTCCGACCCTGTATGTGCAAATGTTAAAAAAGTTACTGTTCTGAGCCATACATTATTTTAAAAAATTGTTATTTCTGACTGAACTACGCAGAATTCCAAAAAAAAAGTAGATACATTTTTTCTTCAAAAAAGTCCAATTCATTAAAAAATAATATCATTTGCTTGATAATTCAAAGGAATAAAAAAAATTCGAAAAATTTCTGTTAAAAAAGAGTAGTTACAAAACTATCCTTATTTATAACCGATTTTGATGAAACTTATGGTAGTTAAAGACCCTTATGGTATGATTATTACCTACAATTTTCATTCCATTATCTTAATTAGAAAGAAAGTTATTTCAAAATATATCCAAATGATAAGACCCCTTTGGAGGGCCATATCTCAGTAACGGTGCTCCGAAGGACCAATGTTTATATGAACTTTGTTTACTATTTTTGGCACTACTTTCACCCCCTTAAATTTTGTACCAACTTTTCCAAACACCCTGTATTCTGATATTGGAAATGTGCCTTCCCTTGGATTCCGAGTTAACAGCGCTCATGCATATGTTGTTCAGCGTTGTTGTAATTGGCTATTTATGGATATAATCACAGTCTAATTGAACTATTAGGTAACCAGTTGCAAAAATTTGAACCCTAAAACTAAATACTTAGCCAGACGACTAGAAAAAAAAACTAACTGAGTTACATACAATTTATTAACTGGCAGAACTAAATTAATTAAATTACCTTAAATTGTATTACAGATTTAAAAATAAAATATTAACGTGAGGCTAAGTTACAAAAATGTTGATATTTTATTAGACTTATGACCTTTCATATACCTAGTGCGTTTATATACCGTTTATATTGCAATTTTTTTAAACCGTTACCTAAATGTTAGTTACAATCGTTTTTGCACGAAGGTATTATCTCTCACTGATCTCCATTTATTGGTATTCCGCCTTTGGGTATGCCCGCACAACCCACGCATGAACTGTTCTGAGGCGAGCACTCCTATTTTACATCATAATCCCACCTGTCGCAAAATATGTTACTCGCACTGAGGAATGCCATCTATGCTCTCCTTTTCGTAATCTTTTCACCTAAAACTGCGTGTACCTATAGGCACTGTTTGCAAGCAAACGTTGCTAGATATCTTGTTACAGAAATACAATGGCGCACCCAGGGGTTTTTGGTGATTGTAGAAGGCTATTTTTTTTATTGTTTTAATCAGTTACCTCGCGAGATGATTAAAATACATATAGGCACAGATAAATTTACTAATTTATCTCTGCTATAGGTAACTGTTTGTGTAATAATACCTAATAAAAAACCAAAGAGCTAATTGCAATAAAGGGAAAATATGAACAAAGGGGTTGTTCCAAAGACGAAAATCTGATTTTGTATTTTTTTTTTGAATATATAAAAATATAAGTTTAGAAAAACAAATCAAAGGAAAATAACGTAAAATTTATAAATAGAAAATTTTAACTTGATATTTGTTTAATCCATCCATAGGTAGAGTAGTTTCAAAATCTCATGAGCCGCGAAATGCGCGAAAGGCGTGGCGAATCCACATAATTCTTCTAATAAGTACGTTGTGAAAACGTTGTGAATTAGACCACATACCTCATTACAACCAGAAATTAACTAAGGCGCTCTGGCATCAATAAAGTCAACTGGCGAACGTTCGTAATATGTATTTTTATTGCTTAAATTAAAATAATAAAGAATAGAGCATTTTATTATGATATTTGTAATGGGAGCAAAGGCTTGTTTACGCTACTAGAGCTCGAGATAGACTGTGAATAATGGATGTAATGTTTTTAGGACATAGAATAATTTAGGCGACGGTCGGAATTATGTTTCTGCGCATATCAAGGTCAAAGCTCATAAGATTTTGAAACAACTCTAGCTTTATCATTATTTTAATAAGTATAACAGTGAATAATTTATTGGACGAAAGTTGTTAAATACATAGTTATTTCTGGAATACCCTGTAAGTAACGGGTTATTCATTTTGAGCTTGGGATAGTAAAGCCCTGCCAATTCATATTTGTCAAATGTCACTATCACCCAGACTGGTATTTGTTTAGTTAAAGGTTTGCCATTTCACAATATGGAACGTTTTACGACCGAACAACGCATTAAAATTATTAAATCATGCTACGAAAATGGTGGATCTTCGGTGGTTGCATTTCGCGCATTAAATGGAGATTATGATTGACATAATCGTCCATCTCACCAAACAACCACAACAATACAGTGAGGAAATTCCAAAAAACTGGACATCGTAAGACCTGTGCAACATCGTTTTGACCTTTCAACCGAAAACATAGCCGCTGTGAGTGAAAGTGTTAACGATGATCCGAATCTTTCGATTCCAAGTCGAGCTCAGCATTTGGGCCTGTCATGCGGCATATTGTGGCGCATTTTGCATTTGGACTTGCATCTCCATTCGTTTAAAGTCCAACTCCCGTAAGAACTCAAGCCGGCTGACCATAGATTGCGCCGTGATTATACCAATTGGGTGCTGGAACAACAGGCCACCGATCCTGATTTCTCGAAGAAAATCTTCTTCAGTGATGAGGCCCATTTCAAGCTCGGCTGCTATGTTAATAAGCAAAATTTCCAAATCTCGGGTAGTGAGCAGCCACAAGTGACCGCTGAGAGACCATTGGACCCGCAGAATGTGACTGTTTGGTGTGCATTGTGGGCCGGCGGCGGCGGCGTCGTCGAGCCGTACTTCTTCTAGAACGACAAATGAGTCACCGTTACCATCAATTCTCAGCGGTATTCCGCCATGATCATCGACTTTTTTTAGCCTGAAATTGAAGATTTTGATCTGGACGATGTGGTTTCAACAAAATGGTGCCACATTCGGCGATGTGGCTTGGCCACCAAAATCCTACGATTTAACGCCTTTAGATTTCTTTTTGTGGGGCTATGCGAAAGACTGTGGTTATGCGAACAATCCCACAACTTTGGAGTAATTGAAAGACGAAATACATCAAGTTATGACCGAATTATTGCCCGAATTGTGTGAAAAAGTCTTCGAAAATTACTTCAAAAAGATTGAGTCCTGCAAACGGTTCCGTGGAGGACATTTGAATGATATTGTTTTTCACGCATAATGGCATAGTCCAAACTTTATTATGAAATAAAAGTTCCATCGAAATTTAAATATTCAGTGTTTTTTTTAAACTTTACTTGCCTATAAATTCCAATATAAATTTTATAGTAACATCGGCACTTAGGCATTAAAATTTATATATAAATATATAATAAATATATATACCTATTAACGACTAAGTATGTATAACCCTCTACTAACTCTATAACAAAAACTAAAGAATATTTGCTGAACTACTGTAGGGTCTTTATAAATGAATTTATAAAAATCAAAAATTTTCTTGCAAAACATAAAATATATTCAATTTTGGCACCAGTCATTACATGGCGGTACCAATCAAAATGGTTCATCACCGTTGTCGCCACATTTCTTTGTGAAGCCAATGTAACTGAACCATATTGCCATCATGTGCCATCTAACATCACTTAAACAAACTTAAAGGTATTGATGGTTGGTACGAAAGAAGAGAACTACAATGGGTTTTCTTTAAAAACCACTGAAAGCAGAGTAGTAGATCTGCCAGATGTAGCGATTTATCAAGTGTCTGTGGATTTATCGCCATTCATCATAATCGAAAAAATTGCCAAAAATTTCTCGAGGTGACTGACGACTTTTTAGCGATTATTAATATAATTGTGACGACTTATTTGTATCTATGATATCACTGTTTTTCCATTACATGGTAACGATATTTATCGAAATATTCGATTTTTGAATATTCTTTCAGAATATTTTACCCAAAACAAAAATTAATGTCGTGCCATCTATATACATATTATAACAACGCTCCTTATTATTTCAAAGAGATGGCTACTTTTTGGCTACTGTGTTTCGTGTTTCCATCTAGTGGTGATGATAGATAAATTTCTCTGGCCACCTTGTTGATGAGTGACCATTGTCCATTAGTATTGTAGGTAAAAGAGAGGACACTGTTTTGGTTAGGTGATCACATTTACATATTAGGTCTGTTTCAATAATAGTCAGGGATTGGTACCGAACCGTTTGAAATGTTTGGCCAGCTAAGTTCTAAATGTGTCTTCAGTGAATATATCACAAGAATTAGTTGGATGCACATTTCGGTCATTTCGAACGGTTCGGAACCAATTCCTGACTCCTGTTGGAACATACCTATTATATACACGTGACCATGGACTTTTTGCGCTTAGTTTTACATCAAATTCTAACTAGGTAGTTTAAAAATTATATTTATAATAAATAAAAGTGGATAAATTTTGTTATGTTTATGTATGTGCAACTTCAGATCCACGTAATACAAAAATAAATAAAAATAATATAATATGGGACATGACGTACGTAGATTTAAGTTAAGTAATAAATATATACCCCTGAATTACACATTATATTGCTCTGATGTAAACTGGGTATTACATTTTAATAACAAAACGTAATGTCATCGAACAACTGTCATCATGACATTTTTGACAGATTAGTTGTCAATACAATTGACAAAGCACGAATGAGTTACTAAAATGTCAGAATTGTCAAAAGTAAAGTAAAAAAAAATAAATCAATTCATTAAACATTTAAAGTGTGGCTAGTGATATGGTGTAGTATTATTTTTCCTTAGATAACTCATGTTTGCATAGAGTTAAAGCAAGGGGTATTCCCACTACTATTATGTAATTTATAGCACAATCTATCAATTAAAATAATAAAAATGATGGTGATCCTGTGATTTATTTAAGTTGTTATTTAATCATGAGCTTCTAAACATGTAAAAGAATTCATAGTGATATGACATCCAATTTAATGTCTTTAAATTAAGTTAAAAATGGCATCAGAGAAAATGGGTTATAATATTGATTGGATAATTCCTAGACTAAGAAATCCAACCAGATTGTGGAGTATTGCCAGCAGTATTACAGTGGCAGCAGTGGGACTCTTTAGCAAGATTTTAATCCGTAATAGTACATACCTGTAAATTATAATGTTTTTTAAATAATCGTAGATTATATTTTAGAGCTATTAAATAGAACCAAAATATATAATAAGAAAGTTATAGTAAATCTACTAGATAAACGACCAAAAAATGTACCATTAGTTACAGTGTCCAACCATCACTCTTGCTTTGATGATCCCGGAATATGGGGTAAGTTTCTTTATATTATTATAACACAAATGTAACCAAATGGTCACAATCTATTGATTTAAATTTATTGCTTCGTAAGAGGGTCACGGTTTTTTAGACGTCATTTTTTAAATAATTATTTTGAAATCGATAAATAATTACTGCACATGTAGGTTGTATAGTATGTAAAATATTTGTTTAAATGTTATGACAAATTAGTAACCTATCTGAAATCATAAAGTCCTACAGCTTGTACATGTATTTTCATTCATTTTTAACTTAAGGCTGGCGTTTTATAGAAGACAAGAAATTACACTTTTAATAAGACAATAATAGAACAAGGTCCATCCAGGAAGTGACAAAGTGTAATGCTAAACTAGAGCAACATGATTGCATGTGTTAATAGCTTCCTAAAAGCATTCTACATTGTGATTATGTTTATAGTACTGTACGTGATTTTCTGTATGTACAATTGTCTTATAGCCTGACGAAAACTTGTATAACTGTTACACTGAAGCGATATTGTTTCCAACTTGCTTAGATTTTCTAAAATGCTGGACAGAAAATTGAGCATTGCCCCCCTTAAAAGTTAATGAAAAATAAACCGACAAAAATTATCTTTTATTACCTACTGAATATGAAGTATATGGAGGCTGTAAACTAAATGAAAATATAGGTATATCATTTCAAGAAATTTCTGCATTAAATGAAATAAAAATAAAGTATATACGTCTAGAAAATTTAAATATTATATTATTTCTACTTTTTGAATTATTATATTTAATAATAATAATAATAATAAAGGCTATTTATTTCCAACAGGTAAGAAAACCCAATTACAAGAAACACATAATCAACAATATTTACAATTGAATAATAAAAATATAAATAAATAAATCAGATACTTTTAAAGACAAGCATGTTGCAGTATATATTAAAACAATTTGAACATAAAGAAATTCGCATTAGGTTGATAATAGTACAGAATTTTAATCTATATCAATTTGCCGGGTTTATTATATTATATATACAGTCATGCACCTCTATACAGGATGGCCTAACGAAAACGTAACAGAGCCCATAGCGGCTTTGGAAAAACGCAAAAACCCGTCGATTTTGTTTGCGAGGGGACATCTTTTTCAATGAATTAGATGGTTCTAACTGCTACCCCCTGAGCGGAGTAAACATCCCCTCCAAATTTTTAAATAGTGGTCAAGTTGCATATCGTTGAAAAGCTCTTTTGATTCTCTACACAGTTATGGGTCCTGTTTGAAAATCAACCCATTTTTTTAAAAGAAAAAGGGTGCAGAACTTAACACATACAAAATTTCCTATTATCTTTACAAATTATTCTCTAATTAAAATTCGCTATCGAGTTCGCTATTAATTTCAAAATCATTAAGTTAAAGAAGCATCTAAACATATCCAAATGGCTGGAAATAATTGACCAGCAACTTCCATTCAATAATAAATAATTTTACGTGAACTATTCTCATTACTTACTCCAACGTGTTGTTAGATTGTTTGCAGTTATTTCTTTCACAAATTCCACTAAAAACGGTATAGATAAGAGACCATTTTTCAGTCAGTGATTTTGTCGTAAAGTGGCGTTATTGGTTTTAGTGTCTGTTTCGCATTAAATACAAAATAATTAAAAATGGTTTATTCGAAGCAAGAGAGGGTGGAAATAATTTGAATTATTTTATAAAAATAATTAATGTGCTTCGAGAGCAGCTCAGTTGTTTACTGAACGACATGGCAATAAACCCGTCCATCGCAAAATTGTCTTGGAGTTAGTAAGAAAATTCCGGGAGACGGGATCTGTGGGCAATAAAAAGCGAAACAATGAACGTCCTGTACGTAATGAAGCTGTGGAGGTTGCAGTTCTGGGACACGTTGCTTAATAGCTGTTTTACATTGACAATTTATTGATGAATAAATTGACGAAGTTCTTCATGAATTAATTCACGAATTTATTGGTAAACAGTGTGGTTTTACACTGTTACAGACTTTGTCAAGTTTTTTGACGCATGAATCAGTTCTACCAACGAATCAAAGAAGCAAATAAATTTCAAAAATGTCACCTTTCCACTCATAATTGTAGTGATACAACAGCGGTACCATTTTGACACATATTATATAAATATTAGTGTTTGTAAGTAACAAATCAGTAAAAACAATGCAAAACGTACGACGCCACACAATTATTTACATATTCCAATAACATAACCTCATCATTACTGTTCTGAGGCTGGAAATCTGTTGGATTGGTACTTCCGAACTTTACGAAGAAATTGACGAAAATTAGAACATGCTCTAATTCGTCAAGAACTTGATGAATAAATTCATGAAGTTATTTGACAGCTGATTTGGTACATTACACTTGTCCAATTTCTGGATGAAGCGACTTCATGAATTAATTGATCAATAAATTGTCGATGTAAAACAGCTATTAGAAGTTTAGATCATAGGCTAAGTACACGGGAATTGGCTTCTGTAAGTGGTGTAAGTCGGGGTAGTGTACAACAAATTTTAAAACATTACAAGTTCCATCCTTACAAAATTCACCTTCTCCATGAACTTCACGAAGATAACTGACCGCCGGGTACAATTTTGCGAGGTCATAACTGAACGGGCGATGCATAATCCAAATTCTCTTTTCAACATTTGTTTTTCCGATGAGTGCAGCTTTTTCCTAAATGGCACCGTCAACCGCTATAATTGCCGTTACTGGGCAGACTCCAATCCAAGGATATTCCAGGAACAGCATACTCAACACCCAGAAAAATTAAATGTTTAGGCTGGTATCTTTGGTGATTCCCTTGTTGGTCCTTTTTTATAAATGGTACTTTGACTGGTGATATGTATTTGGAATTGCTGCAAGAAGCCATTGATCCAGCCTTAACGGTAATTGTGGAAAACAATAATGATTACCTCGAAGATAAATTGATGTTTCAGCAAGATGGGGCTCCCCCCACTATGCCCACCATGTGCGCGAATTCTTAAACCATACATTTCCGAATTGTTGGATAGGTAGGTGAGGTGCCATTGAATGGCCTCCTAGATCCCCAGATTTAAGCCCATTGTACTACTTTTTGTGGGTACACCTGAAAACCAAAATCTATGCCACCCAACCGGACTCTGGAAGATCTACGTCAACGTATCATTAATGAATGTCGTCTAGTCACTCCTGAAATGCTCCAGAATGTAAGACAACGTTTTGAACAAAATATTTATAATTGCATGGACGCAGGGCGCCAACATTTTGAACATTTACTATAATAAAATTTCATTAATAAAATTTTGCTTTCAAAATCCTGTATCTTTTACAAAAATAGGCTGATTTTCAAAAGTGGCACATGACTGTGTAGAGAATTAAAAGAGCTTTTGAACGATATGCAACTTGAGCACCCTTCCCATATAAAAATTTGAAGGGGATGTTTACCCCACTCAGGGGGTAGCAGTTAGAACCATCTAATTCATGCAAAAAGATGTCCCCCTCGCAAACAAAATCGACGAGTTTTTGCGTATTTCCAAAAAAAAATTTTCCTAGCCGCTATGGGCTCTGTTACGTTTTCGTTGGGCCACCCTGTATATATATATATTGATTGATTATATTCTTTTAGCCACATTTTCCGTACAGTTACAGATAATTATATTGATCCTGAGACACTGTTTGATATAAGAAACTGAAAATTATATTATTTTTTAATCAAAAACGAAAAGTTGTGAATCTTTTAAACTTTAACATTATTTGGTTATTTTTTCGTAATGAATTCAACTACTTAGGTATGTGGTCATATTAGTAACTCAGTTATTAAGTACAAAAAAAAAATATCAATGTAATTGCATTAATTTGGTACCACAAGTTTTTTTCTAGTTACTGGGAGTAGTTGGTAGTCTAAATCCAGATCTTCGGGACTCCACCTTTGTAGTGTCAGCTACCACCTTGAATTTAAGAATGAATTTGTTGTTATTAAATGTCGCTTATTTTCAAGTTTCGACTAAAAATGATTATAATCAAACCTGTCAGAAATTTAATTCTGTACAACACTGGTCATTATCATTTTTCATCCACGATTGATATTTTTCAATTTAAACCTGAAAAAATGGTATGAAATTAAATTATAACATTGTGCCGTTTATTTTTAACTTTTAGCTCATAAACGATCATAAACAAATTCGTAGGGAATAAAATTTTGTGCCCTTTTTCTCCTAGTAACAATATTCTAGGTCCTCTGATATGGTAAAGGAAAGGAGAGGTGTGAATAAATTATTTCTCGAACCATTCGACAATTGCATGGCTTTCTAGGTATAATAAAAGACTCAAATTTTATTATTTTTTTACGGTAAATATCTTTCCGACACCATAGGGTTAGAACTGCAGACACTTTTTTTTTTTATATATCCTTTGGTAGGCCTAATCTATACATTATGCTTTACAAGTTTCTAAAATTCTAATTAATTTTTTTTTTGTAAATTTGTTTTCAAACTACACAATTTTTTTCATTTGGTGATGAGCCTGCCAAATTCACATCATTAGTTTCATTCGTCACCAACAAATTTCTAGATTTTCAATTTCAGTTGGTGTTCTGAAGGTTCATCTGTATTATCTTTCTGGTAATCAGTGTCATCTTCATAAAGTAGCTCTTAAATTAAAGTACTGAAATTATAGAGAAGGTATAGGGATAAGAAATAATTCTAATATTTCAGTTTCACTCTTTTTTCAGGTTTAAATTGAAATATTTTAATAATAGATGAAAAATACTAATGAACAAAGTTGTAGAGAATTAATCTTCAGACAAGTTTGATTATAAACATTTTTCGTCAAAAATTGAAAATAAGCGAGATATTTGACAAAAGCAAAATCATTTTTTATTCAAAATAGCAGTTGCCGTTACAAGGGTGAAATTCCAAAAATCTGGATTGAGACTACCAATGATCTCCAAAGACAAAAGAAAGAAAGAAATTTGAAGTATCAAATGAATGCATTTTCATATAATACATAACATATGTTCATAATATTTTATCATTTTATCATATTTACTTTTCTGTCTAGGAAACAAATGTTAAAGACTAAAGTTTTAGAAAACTTTCCTGTATTTCAAAAAAATATATAGAAAATAATTAACTGTTGCCTCAACTGTTGCATTTTGAAGATGTAAACCAAACATTTATTTTTTTTTAATGGAACGTGCATGGATATATTTGTCACTTTTTGGAATTTTCTCCTTTTCGCTAATTACAGTGATATATAAATGTCATATATTTGCTTTGCACAATATTTTAATTTATTTACTGATCCTTTACAATTTAAAAAAGTCAAGATTGCCATGAAACCAGTTCATATTTATGCTTTTCCGCTATTTTTACTGAACAGATATTTATATATTTTATTAAGAAGAAAAATGCTAGGCCAACGTAACCGTTAACAATTCTAAATGACATTTTTCTTATGATGGGATAATTTTATGATCTACGAGAAGCCCTTCTTTCATTTGAATAATTTTTATGACCTAAGAGAGAAAATATGAATGAATTTCATTCTCTAAACTTTGACGTCAATGAAAATTTGGTGTCACTATCAAAATCTCATTTAAAATGATCACAAATTTAGAGAAAAATTTAAATGTACGTGATGATCAGTCAAATATGACATATGGAGTGGTCCCTCAATATGACCAATTTTCTAAGAGTCGACTGTCTGCTGCTTCAGCCAATGTGATGAAAAATTTATTTGTCGATCCTTTGTAACTTAAAAAAATTGTGAATTTTAAAGTACTGTTTGACTTACGTATGATGCCCCGAACTCAATATATCAGCACAAAAAGAGAGTTACAAAGATTGTGGTTTTTTTAAATTAGCCATAAATGTGCTGTTGAAAATGTGCAACTGACGCATTCTAGATTTTTTCAAGGTTTGTGTAAATAATTGTCGGATGTTCTGTTTTCAAAGAATTCTATGAAAAAATAGATACTTTGATATTTCAACAATAACAAAAAGTAAACATCATTGTAATCAGAAAAGCCTCCATAAAAAGTGTCTCGATAATGTTGTAGTTTAAAAGGTTCACTCTTTCCATTTTCAATAAAAAAAATAATAAAGAAAATTTTCATTATTTTCAAAATAAAAAATGTAGCTCAATTTATTTTCTTCTACCTACAGCTTTCTTTTAAATTAATCATGATAAATGGATACACATAGTATTTAGTATTAATGCAATTGTTCTCTGCCCTACTTATAATTTAGTAATTTAAATTCCTTATTCATAAATGAGTACACATTAATTTTCAAACAACTACTACACAAATGTCAATAACAATTTTGCTAAATAAATTTTGTAATGATTTTAAAACTACCTATCAGACTTTTGAAATTCTCATCTGAATTAGGTAAGTGTGCTACTCTTGTTTAGAAAAATGTTTAAAATACAAGCAATTTAGAATATATTTAGTTTTTTGTAAAGTACCTACTGATAGTGTGTATGTTTCTGTCACACAGATAGACGTATTGTCTTCAGACTTTGTAAATTATAGTATTGAACACTCGATTAAACATCTTTATTGTCACGGCAATAATTTTTTTTTATCAGTGATATTTTGTCTTGTCTTTTATTTTTTATGATGAAGATTATAAATTGATTATTATAATCTTCCTGTGCCCATATCAAATTGAAAGAACACTAAAATCATTGCAAAAATAGATAATTACTGAATCATCTTAATATAGATTTCTTATCTAAAGCTATTAATTATTTTTACTTGGTGTTTAATAAAAGGAGTATTTCAACTAAAGTACGTAGTTCTGATGTTAAAGTACAATTAAACCATATTCTAATAAATTGTTTTTATATCTGTCATTGTTTAAATGTTAGGACCAATGACAGTTTAAAGAGTTAAATTATTGTATGTAATGTACGTACCTACATTTTATTATTATTTATGACATCAATGGAAATTAAAATAATATTTTTTATGGAAAAGAACTGTTTTTATTATTTGACCTTCACAGGTAATGTGTGCAGCAAATAATTAATGCAACTAGTTTTTATTATTATTGATAATAACCATTAATCAAACAGAAAATAAGTTAATTTTTAATTGTAATGTTTTCGCGTACATTTAGGGTGTTTCAGAATAACAATATAAGTCCTAGGATTCCTAGGTGTAATATAACAACTATTGTCTTTTATTTTCAAGATACAGTGGGTTTAGAGTACATTTTTTTAAAGAATTATGACGATATCTTTAAAAACTATTAATATATCGTATTTAAATTTGATAGATGTTTGTTTTGTCAAAATTGAATAAACTGCTTAGTTTTTGATTCAAGTAAACATGTGTTTTATAGACTATACAATAAAGTTGCTTATTAAAATAATTGCCAAAACTAATATGTTTGCAAATTTTTATTTATTCAATCACTGCAGAACTTATGCTGAACTAAAATTTGGTAAAATAATTTTAAATCAAGATCATTTAGCAATAAACATAGCATATCGTATAAATTTGTGATAATATTTGCAATATCATATAAATTAATTTAATTTTCTAAACAAAACATTTCGTCCACTAGCTTTGGATGATTTTTAAATTTGTTAAAACCATTACCTATCCTTCCACAGTGTTGCTATATGTATATTAATTATTTGTTTTTTGTAAATTATTTAGGGCTTGCAATTATTTAAATTAGTGATATTATTTCACAGTGTGTAAAAATATATGCCTGAACAAAATTTAAACCTTAGTAATATATTATATACGACTTGATAGAAGTAGTGGGATACATCGCCAATTTTTATGCTTTTTCTCGAAAATGAAGCGGTTTAGCAAATTTTAATGAGCGCACATTTTTTGTGCAGAATTAAGAAATAAATAAGAAAATCATACTAAAGACCTTAAGAATCTAACATCAAAAAGAGATTGGAACTAAAATGTATCTGATTTGAAGAATAACAGACATCTTCTATATATTAATCAAAAGAAAAGTTAATTTTACATCAATTACTTTTGGAGATCTTAGATTTGTAAACAAGAGATGATAGATCTCTATAGAAATAAAATTTTATCTTTATGGTACGTTTTCCCTTGAAAATAGAATATTTAAACACTGTAAATCTTCTCATGAAATTATCTAATAAATGAGACGTTTCCAAAACAAAACATTTAAATTTTGTATAATATTTTGTTTTGATTGCAGGTACTTTAAAACTAAAGCATCTCCTAAGTCCAAGAATAATGAGGTGGTCTTTAGCAGCACATGACATTTGTTACACCTGTTGGCAACATGCCATTTTTTTTAGTCTAGGAAAATGTATACCTGTTGTAAGAGGTGCTGGTGTATATCAGGATGCTGTGAATTTTTGTATAGAACAATTAGCCAAAGGTGGATGGGTGCATGTATTTCCTGAAGGTAAAATATAAAAGTTTCAATGGTTATATCTTTGGAACCGGAGGGGTTATGAAGATCTAAAACCTTTTTGCTGATATAAGACGAGGAATTTAAATGACGTAATAATTGACGCTTTGCCTCCTATCCTGTAGATTTAAGTCATTTCAAGTACTTTAAAAAATCTTGTGGTTCATTAGTTCTTTGATGCATTATAGTGAAATGTTTGCTTTAGTTCTATTACCTTATTAAGTACAATTGGACAAACTATAATTCTACTGTATCATTTTGAAGTATCTCAAAAGAAACAAATTTTTCAAATCATTAAATTTAATGTTTACCAAATTGTATCCTGAATCCCTATCATTGTATTGAAAAAAAAAACAACAAAAAAATATAGTGAATATGAAAAATAATAAAATTTTCTCAAATTTTCAAAATTTGAGACAATAGATATTTAAAATTAAAGTGTAAACTAAATATTTACTTCTTGTTGCTGTATTGTCACTAAAAAACTTTGTTTCTTAAATTTTATGGCACAAAATAATCCTAAAGTGATCGCTAATTGGTTGAATAAAATCTCATGATAAATTACACCAATCACCAACCGGTGAAACAGAACGTTTGTTTTAATGTAGTATTCATTGTTTCAATAATTTTTAACTTTATTCCAAACAAAATTACTGGTCACGTGGCTTGTAATCATATATTGAAGGCTCTGTACAAGTCATTTGAAAATGTGTCTGTTTAACAGCTTTTAAAATAATTGTAGGCAACTTGTAATTAAGACTTTATACCCAATTAGTAGAATAGAAAGGAAGTGCTTATATTTGTGATAATTACTTAAAGTTACTTATTGAAGTAATTTCCCACTTAAGAAAATTAACTTAGCAAGATTGAAAAATATTATGAATCCAAACTAATTCTAATTTTTCGTCAAATACAGTTGTTAGATAGTTTAGATACCAAATCTAAAGAAATAACTCCCTGAAAATGTGTCAAAAAACTCTTAACTTTATAAAGTACTCCAAATAAGGAAAAACAAACTGATGCATATGTCTAGAAACACTTTCTTCAAAAAAAAAATCTGATATTGTTTATCTTCCAAACGAGTTAACCAAATCAATTCAAATTTGGTACTGGGTATACAATGATAAATGAGGTAATTTAAGGGAGAAAATTCAGGAGTCTCATCTTTTTTTGAGTAGTATTTCTATGCCACCAAAATTTTGGAAAAAATTGTAACTTTCTCTACCATTTTCGAGGAGACATAATAATGAAATTTTTACTATTTTTGCTTTTTCTGATACTTTTTTATAAGAACACACAGTACAGAATTGACTCATATTTTGGTGAAATTTAAAGAGTTCCCAGAGATAGTAAAGTATTTTTGTAAAGATGAAAAAGTCAAATTTTGTGAGTAGTGTTGAGACAGTTGGGCCAGACACACGCTATATATACAGATAGGTATTGTCAAGAATGGAGATCCGTGTAAGATTTGTAAGTATAAAGAAATTCAGATAGCTCAACTGTAATACATTTAATATATCTAGGGAGTATGGTTCATGATATACAGGGTGTTTCAAAACGTGTCGGAAAATGAAGGGTGTGATAGCTTATTCTAAAAAAAAGTTGTTATTAACATGGATCACAAACACACCGTTTTCGAGATATGGGGTGTCTAAAAATATATATTCTTATTTTTTTGACGTCGGTTTTGACAGTTCTCAGGAACCGTTTGGGATACAGAACACAAATTTTGTACATGTCTTATCATTAATATTAGCTACTTTTGAGCACTAATTCAATTTTTATACATATGAGAGTGGCGGAAGTTTGAGGATTGTGAGGTTCTTTTGCCTCTAATTTTTATGACTGGGAAAATTGGTATGTTGAAAGCATATTTTAAATCGCCAATGTTGTATACATAAAAAAAGGTACTCATCATCAAAAGCTCTAACGCGAACCGTTTTCAAGATAAATGGCATTTTATAATGGAAAACATGAAAGAAAGTGGTAGCATGATAAAATTTATTTCAAAACAGCAAATAAACAACAAAAACCACAACACTTGTTGAAAAATAGTCTCCTTTTATGGTAATGCAGGCTTACAATCAACTCCAACCAACGTCTGAGTGACATGTACTCATTAAAAAATGCCCAGAATGTTGCGGATCGTATTGCAGGATGCAATAATGCGATTCCTCAGTTCTTCAACAGTATTAACTGGTAGTGTAAACTAAAATTTTTAAGTGATCCCAAAAAAAACAATCCAAAATATTTAGATCTGGATTTTTTTTTATCATGTTGCCACTTTGTTTCATGTTTTCCATCATAAAATACCATTTATCTTGAAAATGGTTCGCGTTAGACCTTTTAATGATGAGTACCTTTTTTTGTGTAGAAAACATTGGCGGTTTAAAATTTGCTATCAAATACCAATTTTCCCAGAGTCTTAAAAATTAAGGGCAAAAGAACCTCTTGTAATCCTAAAATCTGCGCCAAAAGCATATGAATAAAAATTTAAGTTCTATATATCAAACGGTTCCTGATATACCTTGAAAACGGTGCGTTTGCCCATGTTAAGAACTTCTTTTCTTAGAATGAGTCAAAGAATCACATCCTTTATTTTCAACACGTTTTGAAACACCCTGTAATAAGAGGAGCAGTTATTATATTTTAGAACTTGAAATATTTATCCCCAATAACTTTGTCAATGTCTTTTGTTAGAATTTATGTTAAATTTTATTTAATTTTTTTTAGATAAAATTGCATTAAAGAATATTCACAATTTTGTTTAATGAGATTTTTGGAATATTAACTTGGCTCACCTTTACTTACTTACCTAAGAAATCTACAGAATATTGTATGTAGGACACAAAACATTTTCAAAAGCATGCTGTACTCATTTTAAACATTTGTTACATTTTTTTTAAATAAGTAATAGTGAACCAAATTAGTATTTTAAAATCTTATTAAACAAAAATATGAACATTCTTTGATGCAATTTTATTTGAAAGTTTAAATAATATTCAATATGTATTTATCAAAAAAAAAAAAAAAAACTGACAAAGTTAATGGTTAATTCTCAAATATTAAACTGTCTGTCTTGTATTGTTATATCTTTAACAATGTTCTCCAGATATATTAATCGCTGTCGAGTGTCATCAAGTTTTGTGTTGGCATACCATCAAGAAGGGTTTGAAAATTAAAATGATAAAAACAGTGCATTCTATCGAAATATAAGATTACCTTTGTTTCATTCATTTCTCCAGAAAATCCTGTTTTTGCATAATTTCAGTGGTGTAGGTACTGCTCAAACAAAATATGATACAGTTGAACCTCTGCACATGAAATATTTATCATCACCATATTCAAACCATGCACACTTATTAATTAATACCCTGTACCTAATTTGAATTAATTAGATCAACTCATCCAGAAAATGTAAACAATTTTTTTTTAATAAAAACTAACAATCTCCTTGGAAATACGGTCATACTAACTCTTTTTCTTATTTTTTTTAGTGCCCTTTTAACGTCTATTGTCTTTAATTATTTATTTGTGACATTTTTAGTACTTCTTTTGAAATATTTAATTAGGGTTATTATAGGATAACTTTTAAGTTTAAAATAAAAGAGCTAATAATAGAAGTATTAAAAAAAAACATTGGAATATTCTTATTTCAGGGAAAGTGAATATGACAAAAGAAAATATGAGACTGAAATGGGGAGTCGGAAGAATGATTTTCGAATCTCCGGTAACTCCAGTTGTGGTACCAATCTGGCATATAGGAATGGATGATGTTCTTCCCAACGAACCCCCGTATATATTAAAGTTCAACAAAAATTTAACATTCAACTACGGTAACCCAATAGATTTATCTGAGATGGTAAAGTCATTAAGAGAAAGGAAAACAACTGATGAAGAAGCAAGAAAACAAATAACTGATTTCTTGGAAGACACTTTATTGAAATTAAAGGTAGAGACAGAAGAATTGCATAGGAATCATTACAAGTTAAAGTCATGATAGTGCCGATATTATAGGATGTGTAATTTAATTTATTCTATCAACAAAAATAAACAGGTAGTTTAGATAATTTGAGATAATAATAAGATGACAACTAGCTAGACACTTTTGCTTTTCAATTTTTGCTAGTCAAGTTAAACTCGTAAATATTTCCAATTTTACCTCGTAACTGACCTAGGCACTAAGATTATGCAGTTCTTTATTATAATTTGTTTTATAGATAAATTATATCATCAGCAATATTTACATTTACAATTAATATAGGAAATAGGTTTTTCCTAATATTTTAGGAATGTTTCCATTCTTCCATTTGTAATTTTTTTAAAACCAAAGTATATGAAACCTTTCAAAGATGGGTGACATATCATATAAGTGTATATTTGTTAGTATTAAATTGTAATATTTTATAAATATACAGCTTTTAAAGTTTACTTTTAAATAATTGTTAATATGTACATTATTTAAGAAAGTATGTACTTTTTTATTCTAGAGCCAACTTTTTGAATATTTTTTAAAAATAAAAAAACACCTGATACATTTGATATTTTTAAAGAACAACACTGATTCAATGAATAAAACATTTTATCAGAACTGTTATCATTTTAATCTTATTTAAAACCTTGTACCATGGGAGTATGCTATATCATGTTTTGGAAATTATGTTGCGACTTCCTAGATCTACAATTTAATTGTAACACTGTAGAATATACTGGGTGTCTCAGAATTACGTGTACAACAAAAGACCACAGATTCGTGTACTCAAGATAGGCAGATTTAGGCTAATTTACCTATATCCGAAATCGCTTTCTTTCACCTCTAGATGGCCTCGAAGTTTGTGAATGTTTATTGAATTTTGTAAATAACTCGAATACGTATTATTCGATTTTGATTATTTTTGGGGTGTAGACTTTTGCTTTCAATCTACAAATTTTGGTGTTATACAGTGTTTTTTAAAACTCACAATTCCTACAAAATTGATATTTGGTGATAATATCCGTTCATAACTTCCTCTTTAGGGAATAATGACAACTATTTTTTATTTGATAGGTGATATTATTTGGAAGTTTTTGGATCTCTTGTAAAATTTTTATTAAATGAGCGGTTTGGGTACAAAAAAATATTTTTTAAATGTATACATTATCTTGCCACCCATATTACAATACTTAACAATGTGCTTGTAGGTTCTGATTTTGTAGGTTGACTGAATTTAAGTTTGATCTTTAAGTCATTGTACCTTGTTAATTCTGTTTTACCAGAAGTGGAATAATAGATATTTACAATGAACTTGTTTAAGCTCAAGAAAATCCACATGCTGTCAAAATGAAACGTTATTAGTATAAATTTCACATCATTGTTTGACTTCATGCTTCTACATCTAACATTGAAGAAGAGTTGGAGGCGTATCCAAAATACCATAAATGTTTTAAAAAATAGCCCTTAAAAACTACAAAGGGTGTCGTTTAACTTTCTTCGCCGAATTAATCTTTGTTGTAGAAACAGTGGTGGTCATTTTGAACAGTTTTTATAGCAAGTTGTACTAAATTTAATAACATCAACTTTGTTACTTTTATCTCCAGCATTTCTTATTCTATTTGATTATTTTTACGAATTATTTCAATAAAATTAGGCACATTGTAAATAACTCTTAATTCGTCATATGTGTATATCCATGTCGAAAAATGAATTAACGTGTGGTATATCTTATCGTAGCAAACACTCATTAAGAATTGGCAGGTACAATGACTTAAAGATCAAACCGACGATACAGGGGGTGATAGTATGACAAAAAATAAGAATTTTTTGTCTTATAAACTCTTTGTCTATCTCCTCTAATTTTCGAGATAAAGAGCGACAAAATAAAATTTTTTAAATAGAATTTTTACGAAAATTTCCAAATGGTACGAATTATTTTTATGAAATTTAGTATTCTGGAGTTTTTAAGGACGCCAAATTAGCTGGTCTAATAATTTTTTGGAAATTTCATAGAGGGCGCTAGTTATGCTACATTCCTTTTACATTTTAAATTCAATTTTTTTTAAGTTTAGGTTTATTACCATTCGGGCTCCAATTTCTAATGTATAATTTGATTAATTTGATTCTCTAAAAATAATGTACTCTTGTTAGAACTTCCTAATCTTACAATATTACGGAATTACAAGGAAAATAAGTGGCTTTTCTCAAAGTAGGCTTATGTCAAAACTTATTGATGGATGTTTCATAAACAATACATACATCCTCAGTAATATTTTAAACTCTAATTAACTTTATATCAAAGTTTTAGTGACTTTAATAAGTCATTACTAACTACAGTCACTAAAAATCACTAAAATTTTGATATAAAGTTAATGAGAGTTTAAAATATTATTAAGGACGTTGTTTATGAGGCTTCCATCAATAAATTTTGACATAACCTACTTTGAGAAAAGTCACTTATTTGTATACGCCGTAATATTGTAATAGCTGTTTTACATTGACAATTTATTGATCAATTGATTCATGAAGTCCCTTCATCAAGAAATTGGACAAGTGTAATGCACCAAATCTGCTGCCAAGTAACTTCATGAATTTATTCATCAAGTTCTTGACGAATTAGAGCATGTTCTAATTTTCGTCAATTTCTTCGTGAAGTATCAATCCAACAGATTTCCAACCTCAGATCAGTAATGAGGTTATGTTATTGGAATATGTAAATAATTGTGTGTCGTCCGTCGTGCTAGTTTTGCATTGTTTTTACTGATTTGTTACTTACAAAAACTAATATTAGACCAGGGTCGATAATTTTTGAAACCAAAAAAAATTATAGTAGGATGAAACCCATTGGAAAAGAAAGAGAATATAACAGAAATGAAAGGAAAAATAATTTACGGGCGATCTGAGGTCGGGAAGGGGAAGGGGGTGAGTTTTTAAGGGTAAAAAACGGTTTCCCTTGATTTCCGGAAAAACTACAAGTCTTATGGAAAAAAGTTAAATGGCAAAGTTGTAGGTAATAAAAAGATCTACAACTTTTGTATTTACACTTTTTTCACATAACCTCAAAATTTATGTGAAAAATTCAAATAACCAAGTTTTTGGTTTTTTATTTTTATCTTTTACAAAAAAATTTTTTTTTCACGAAATTTGGTGAAAACTTACCTATTTATGTCCCAAACACGCTGTAATTTTTTTGATTTGAAATATTTATTTTTTCACCTTATTTTTACTTAATATCGAAAAAGCACCCTAATTTTCAATCGAAAATTCTCACGTCAAAATATCTGCTTTTTTAAAAACGTCGGTGGGCTTTTTCTTCGTTGTAATCTCTACTTTCTGATGGTTAAAAAAAATATACATTACTATGGTAAGTTTTCTCAGGAAATGCAAAGAAACGAAAGAAGATTCTACAACTTTCTCAAAATATTGTAGATGTCTTATTAAATATTAACTTTATTAACTTATTTGGTTGTTAATTATAATAGTATATTTCGACTTGTAATTTTTTTGTTTATCAATGTAACATGGAATCTTACGTTTTTCGAGTAATTAAAGTGTAAATTTTAATAAATAGCTCAAAATTGTACATAATGATTAGAAAAAAATTTTCGGATTCTAGTTCGTTTCTTTGCATTTCCTGAGAAAACTTACCATAGTAATGTATATATTTTTTTACACCATCAGAAAGTAGAGATTTCAACGAAGAAAAAGCCCACCGACGTTTTTAAAAAAGCAGATATTTTGACGTGAGAATTTTCGATTGAAAATTAGGGTGCTTTTTCGATATTAAGTAAAAATAAGGTGAAAAAATAAATATTTCAAATCAAAAAAATTACAGCGTGTTTGGGACATAAATAGGTAAGTTTTCACCAAATTTCGTGAAAAAAAAATTTGTTTGTAAAAGATAAAAATAAAAAACCAAAAACTTGGTTATTTGAATTTTTCACATAAATTTTGAGGTTATGTGAAAAAAGTGTAAATACAAAAGTTGTAGATCTTTTTATTACCTACAACTTTGCCATTTAACTTTTTTCCATAAGACTTGTAGTTTTTCCGGAAATCAAGATAAACCGTTTTTTACCCTTAAAAACTAACCCCCTTCCCCTTCCCGACCTCAGGTCGCCCGTAAATTATTTTTCTTTTCATTTCTGTTATATTCTCTTCCTTTTCCAATGGGTTTCGTCCTACTATAATTTTTTTTCACTTTCTACCATTTTTGAAGGCTTAAGCAATGGTCTATATTTATGTCAGAACGGTACCGCTGTTGTATCACTACAATTATGAGTAGAAAGGTGACATTTTTGAAATTTATTTGCTTCTTTGATTCATTGGTAGAACTGATTCATACGTCAAAAAACTTGACAAAGTCTGTAGCAGTGTAAAACCACACTGTTTACCAATAAGTTCGTGAATTAATTCATGAAGAACTTCATCAATTTATTCATGAATAAATTGTCAATGTAAAACAGCTATAAGAATTGAATTAAAAGCATTTTATTCTCGAAAACCGTCCACATTAGAAAGTTCTAACAAAGAGTCCATTATTTTTAGATAATAGAATTATACATTAGAAATTGGAGCCTGAATGGTAAAAAACCTAGGCCTTACAAAAATTAGAACTTAAAATGTAATAGTAATATAGCGTAACTAGCTCCCTCTATGAAATCATCAATTTTGTAGGAGTTGTAAGTCTTAAAAAACACTCTGTATAACACCAAAATTTGTAGATTGAAAGCAAAAGTCCAAACCCCAAAAATAATCAAAATTGATTAATACATATTCGAGTTATTTTCAAAAAAATTTCATGAACTGAGGCATCTAGCGGCTAAACGAAGCGATTTCGGATATAGGTGAATTAGCCTAAATCGGCCTATTTGAGGTCTTCTGTTGTACACGTTTTTCTGGGACACCCTGTATATTTTACGTTAACAGAAATAAATCTTATCGATGTCCATAATCGAGATATTTATTTTATTAAAGAAATAATGGATATGGATAATAAGGGTATCTGTCAAAACTATATAAAAGGATATCCAGGGCCGGATTAACCTATGGCGAGGTCCGGGACTACAAGGTCTACGCAGGCCCTCTTTCAAAAAAAAAAAACCGATCTCGTGACGCCCTTAATACGGCCCTGAGGATATCTTATGGATATACTTACTTAGATCAGTTGTCCATTTGAATAAATAATCCAACATGATATTTTATGGATGGTTAATTTATGGATATCCATTTAAGTTAACGGAAATACATCTTATGGATGTCCACCGTTAGGATATTGTATTAACGAAATGACGACACCTTATGGACATGTACAATAAAGATATCCATCAAAACTACAGAAAACAATATCTTACGGATTTACTGAGGCCATGTACCCCCTTAGGATAAAAAAGGATGTTTTATAGATGTTTAATTTATGGATCTCCATTTGAGATATAAAGACGTACATCCTATGTTTGTCTTCAGTTTGAACATTCATTTATTCAAGAAAAACGATATCTTATGGTTATACATGATAACAAGGTTCATTAAAACTATAGAAAAGGACATTCTGCCTACTTTTTGTCTATTTCTTAAGGACAAAATTAACCCACCCTGTACACAGTGCATTCTTTGAAACAAGTTGTATTAAATATTCTTGTGGAAACCAGCATGCTTTTTGTTATTTCTGAGTTGTGTATCTGGGATTGTTTCTGTGGTAGTTTAAGCTTTTACTATAACCTCATTTTTTTATATGCCATTCCATAATTATTTCCCTCAATCCCATTAAACTTTTAGTATGTTTTAGAACTGTTATGATTTTAAAACATGTAATTAATTGACTTTGTTGTGAAAACATTTTTATAAATAAATTAGCAAATAAACTTTTATGTATAAATGTTTAATTATTAGATGTTGTTTAAAAACTGATTGAGTTCCTTCTTTTT